TGCAACTTTCAACTCAATTCACCTTTGACTTCAAACTTCTCAAGGGTGAGACCTATCCTGTTTCTTGCAGGCCTCTCTTAACAGTGTTGCACTGCTCGATAGAAACATAATGCAACCCACAAATGTGGGCCTCCTAAATAAATAAACATTTGCCAGCAGTCACAATGAGAGAAAGGTTTCTAAAAAAAAAAAGGTGGAACATAGTTGTAATAATATATTTAACTCAATATATCTAAAATATTGCCATCACAATGTATAACCAATATAAAGATTTTAAATGACATATTTTACTTTGTTTTCTTCTTAATCCATCAAAATCTTGTATATATTTTATACTTCCAAACCTTCTCAATTTGGACTAGCCACATTTCAAAAGCAGAATAGCCACATGGAGTTGGTGGCTACTGTATTGAACAATGTGTCTCTACCATGGCTTTGTCTTCTTAGGAAAGTGAAACTTTGAGAAACTCATATTCTTCTTGCTAGGGTCCTCTCTCCACCCAACATTCTGATAAAGCACTGTGGAGGGCTGACTGTGTTTGGTTTCCCTCTAGATTCCAATATGTCACTCTAGACCTCATGACGGAGAAATGTCATTTGCCTTCTTCTTTCCACAACAAAGTCCCTCAGCTTATAGCCAGACAAGGCAAAAATTCCAGACTTAAAAAAGAGCACCCAGTCTTCACTAAAAAGAAAGAAGAAAAAAGAAAGGAAAAAAAAAGAAAAAGAAAGAAAGAAAGAAAAAAGGCATTTCTCTCTCTGGAATTTAATTTCTCTAGACCTTTTTGTAACATCAATTTTGATATGGATGTTTTTTAATCAGCTGTATTGAAATATCATTGATACCCCATAAAATTTACCTTTTTGAGATGAATAATTCAGTGTTTTTGGCATACTCTCATTGTACACACTATACATCATTTATTGATAAGCACTCAGTGTGCATCCCAGTTTACATCACTACTACCTAATTCCAGAAGTTTTATCACCCCCAAAAGAAATCCTATACCTATTAGCAGTCATTCCTCTCTCCCTTCCTAGCAATCACTATTCTACTTTCTGTCTCTATGGATTTGTCTATTGCGGACCGTTCGCATAAATGGAACCATATAATATGTGGCTTTTTGTGTCTGGCTTCTTTCAGTTTGCATGTTTCCAAGGTTGATCCATGTTATAACATATAATCCATTCCTTTTTATGTCAGAATATTATTCTAATATATGAATATACCACATTTTGTTTAGCCCTTCGTCAGTTGATTAACCTTTGGGTAGTTTCTACTTTTGGTTATTATTAATAGTGTTGCTTTATAAACATTGCTGTGCATGCTTTTATGTAGACATATGTTTTCAATTCTCTTGGGTACATACCTAGGAGTAGAATTGCTGCATCATATGGTAACTCTATGTTTAAACTTGTGAAGAATTGCCAAACAGTTTTCCACAGCAGCTGCACCGTTTTACCTTCTCACTAGAAATGTCTGAGGGTTCCAATTTCTCCACATCTGTTATCTTTTTTATTATAGGCACTCTACTGGGTGTAATTTTGACTTGCATTTCCCTACTGACTAATTGGGTTGAACATCTTCACACACGCTTATTGGCCATGTTTCTATCTTCTTTGGATATATACCTATTCAAATTCTTTGCCCATTTTAAAAATTGGGTCACTCTTCTATTATTGAGTTGAAAAGTTCTTATATTCTGATTACATGTTTCTTATTAGATACATGATTTGTAAATATTTTCTCACATTCTGTGCATTGTCACTTTCTTAATAGAGTCGTTTGCAGCATGAAAGTTTATAATTTTGATGAATCCAATTTATCTATTTTTCCTATTTTCTCCTGTGCTTTTGGTGTCATTTCTAAGAAACCATAATTTAACCCATGGTAACAAAGATTTACTCCTATGTTTTATTCTATAAGTTTCAGAATTATAGCTCTCATATTAGAGCTCTGATCCACTTTTAGTTCATTTTTGTGTATGGTATCATCTATGCAATAGTCTGTGCACCATTTACTGAAAAGACTATTATTTTTTTAAGACTATTCTTTATCAATGAATTATCTTGCCTCCTTTATCAAAGACCAATTGATTATAAATGTGATGGTTAATTGGATTATTGATTCTATTCATTGTCCTATGTGTCTATCCTCATGCCAGTTTTCCAATATCTTAATTACTTTTGTTTTGTCATAAGTTTTGAAATCAGGAAGTATGAGTCCTCCAACTTTGTTCTTCTTTTTCAAGATTGTTTTTGCTATCCTGAGTCCCCTGAATTTCCATATGAATAATTTCCATCTGAATTCTAGGATGAGCTTGTCAATTTCTGCAAAGAAGCTAGGCTGGAATTTTGATTAGCATTGTGATGAGTCTGTACATGATTTAGAAGACACCTACCAACACTGTCTTCTCAACTATGTCTTCTCAAATAGTAGAAATAATCCTTAACACACACACACACATACACACACACACACACACACACATTTAAGACATTTTTTAGTTTCCTGGAACAATCTTTTGTAGTTTTCAGAGTATAATTTTCACAATACTTTTGGTAAATTTATTCATAGGTATTTCTTTTTTATGCTATCATAAATAAAACTATTTCATTAATTTCACTTTTAGATTGTTCATAGCTCATTGTTATTCTGAACTTACTTTTTACACTTGATTCATCCTTCAACTTTGTTGAACTTGTTTATTTGCCCAATAGTTTTTCAGTGAATTCTTTAAAATTTTCTATATGTAAAATCACATCTCTGCAAAAAGACATAGTTTTTTATCTTCCTTACAATCTGGGTGCCTTTTATTTCATTTCTTGCCTAAATGCCATGGCTGAAACCTCCAGTATAATGCTAAATAGAAGTGGGGAGAGCAGATATCCCTGTCTTGTTCCTGATCTTAAGGGGAAGGTATCCAGTCTTTCACCATCAACTATGTTAGCTGAGGGTTTTGACAGATGACATTAACAGGTTGAGGAAGTTAGAAAAACCAAGATAGAAAGAAAAAACATCAAGAGCAGATTAAAAGAAAGAGGAAGTAAAATCATAGGGAAAAGGAGCAAGAGAGTAAAATAACTAAATTTAATAAGTAGGGGGAGGGACTAAATAATAGAAAAATGAATTCAAAAAGAATTCTGAAAGAAATTATAAGAAATAGATTCTGAAATACTCTGTCATTAGTTAAGTATATGCCTTTGGTAAATATGTAAAAATTCTCTATCTCTTGATTTTGTCAATTACAAAAAAGAAAGTAAGAAAATTTATTTTATAAACATTAAATAACTAGTATGTACTTTTATGTACATTTTTATGTCTTTTGTGTGAGACACTGAAGTTCTAAAGAGATAATACATTTTTTGACAATTTATTTTTTTGGCCTTATATTTCTATATTCTATAAAACATATCCAGCAAAATAGCAAAACAGGAAAGGCAATGAAAAAGAGAAAGGGAAAAAGTAAAGAAAAGGAAGAAAAACACAGAAGGTGAAAAGGTAAAGAATGAAGAAAGATACAGAAAGGTAAGGAAAAACGGTATGAAGAAAGTAGAGAGAGACTGAGAAAGAGTCCAAGGCGGACAAAGGAATATGAAAGCCACATCGCACAGAGGAAGGCTGAGGGCAGCGAGAAGAGAGCAGAGGAGGAAAGGAAGTATCTCCGGAGTTCACTTTATTGATGGTGAAAGGGTCTTTTAATGGGAAACATATTTCACCAAAAGTAAAGTAGGGCTTGTTTTGAGAACCACTTACTTCCAAAGTGAAAAGAAAAGATAAATACACCTGAAAGAATTTCTAAATGTTAGAAAATCCAATTATTCTCATCCAGAAAGGATTCTACTTAATCATTTTCCTAGATACAGAGGGACTCTAAAAATATGAGCTGTGATGTTGGCTCCATCAATATTTGACTAGAGACAACTACTCTTTTGTGTCTTCCGTTTCCTAATCTATAAAATAAGTTTGAATTAGATAATTCCTAAAGCCTCTTTTAGTTCTGACATCATAAGGTTTTACATAAGCTAGCAAAATAAAAACTTATTAAGGAATGAATACTGTAAGCTAACAAAAAAATTAACGCAAGAAAAAATGATATGCCATTCGCAGGAAAAAATATCAACTCTAATAACAGACAAATTTGAGGAAATAAAATCCCCCACTTAAAGTGGCTATCACCCTGTAGGTAGGTGGTAAATGCATTACAAACATGAGAATCTTTTCCTAGCAGTAACGTTTAGGAGAATAGTAGGAATTTATTTTTTAAAAGAGTGAGGCAGACATCTGAAAAACAGACCAGCAGGAAGACTAAGACACTTGTTCATCTGCATTTCTGTGACTTGTCTTGCTTGGTTTATTTGCAACTGCACTTTTATGTCTGGCAGCAGTGCCAACCTCAGTCCAAATGATATATTATTTTTATCATGTTGATTACATATGTTCACCAGTTCAGTTGTCCATATATGCTTGGTGTGGTTTGCAAATACTCGGCGACAAAATCCAGAGCATAGCATTTTCACAGAAAGTGTTTACTGTGAAATTTCTCTTTAGAACTTCATTTTTACAGCTTTGATCCATATGACATCCACAGTCCTACATTTGAAATAATTGCTTATAGTTAAATTAAAAAATGCTTCTTCAATATTATACAATATGACTACAATAGGGTTTGTTCTTGAGGAGACCTCATTTTCTTATATGATCAGAAACTTGGTCAAATTTAAAGTCTGCTTGAATTTTCCAAACTGCGCTTCTTCAATTTTATAGTGACTTGGTACTTACATTCTGTTATTCATCAACACTTCACAGAAATACTTGATTTGTCTGAATGAATTTAAAAACCCACAACTGAAGAAAATCAGAAAAACCTGGTTTTAAATATCAAAAGATCCCAAATGAAAAGTATTTCTACAGGCCACACCAAGCAAGTTTTATTGATCAGTGTACTTCTTCGCAGGATGAAAATGCTGCAAGACTGAACATAAGAAAATAAACTTACTGGTAAATGTCTTTCCTGAGGACAGATCGGCCGAGGGGATTGTCAGCCTGGGGAGCCATAGCAACAGAGCCAATCTTCAAAACCATGGTGTCTTCTTTTGCTGCCTGATTAACTGTAACAAAAGAAGTAGATTTATGGGGCATACAATGGATCTGCGCATAAGGACAAATCTTTTTATTTTGGGGTGAAAACAATTTGTTTGTTTTTAATGACAAACTTGGAAAGAGCCTTCTTGGGTGCTGCATGAATGGAATGCATTCTCTTAGAAAAGCAACAGAGCGTGTTTGAAGTTGAAACACTGTGACAGATGTGGCCCTACCCATGTATCTCTAACAGGGAGGAATCTCTGAGTAAAGGTGTAGAAACATTAAAATAAGGCCAACAAATGAGGACAGAAAAAATTAGGTTTAAAAGCATTTGATGTTTCTTAACTATTTCTTTTATATCCCATTAAGTAGTTTTCTGTTATACACAATAATGACAGAAAAAAACAAATCCACCCCAACATTAAGACATATGATATTAAACATATACAAGCAGTACTGAAACAGAGTGTTTACCTAAATTTCATAATCTTATACTAAATCTGCATCTTACTACTCCCAAGTGATGTTCAGCCCTGGGCTTTTTAACACTGTGTTATTGTCTACAAACATATTAAAAGATACCACACAGTAACAAATACTCGAAGCATTTAAATTTACATGATTAATAGTATCTACACACACACACAAGGTATACCGAAAGATCATCTGTAAAATGTCAAAAAATCCCAAAGAAATACAATGGCTGCAATGCTGAAGAAAGAAATCAACCATTTCAACTTATTATTCTAGATACTTTAAAATTTTTAAATTTCTACTGTGAAATTGCATGACAAATAGCATTTCCACACCTGTGTAAAAGTTCTACCTCCTAGTGGAAACTAAAGCAAAGGTAAGAAAATCTCAGAAAACTATAAGAGGTGAAAAGATAAATCAATTGTGATGCTCTCCTTCTAAACATTTTACCATATGTTTTCATCCTATAAAGTTCAAAGATTTTTCTAAATATCACCAGCTAATTCAATGTCTTCTCTTAGGACTATCTGGAATGGATCACAGTTCTTGATCCTACTAATGTATATTAATTTTTACTCCCTCTTCTCAACAGATTATTCAACCGTAGTAGTTATTTAAAAATTGTTTTAAAATGTTTAAAAATTGTTAACAATATACAACTTCCGGGGTTTTGAAGAAAACATATACTAAAACTCATAATTCCTCTCAAGAAATTATCATCTGCCACAAATGCAACAGAAAAGGACTGGCTGCAAGACCTCAGGAATATTCTGAACAGAACATGCCAGCAAAGGCATACAATCCATATTTCCCAAACTGTGTTGCCCAAAGAATGCAAAAGCCAAGAGATTATTTCCAGCTGCTTCAGCAGTACACTCAGTATGGTCTGACTTAGATTAGTCTAAAAAAGAAAATCAGAATTAAAAAAATCAGAAAAAATAAGAAGAAAAATATTCAGTGATGGAAAAGGAAACAGATTAAGGTGTACATAAAGGGAGTGGCAACATGGAAGTGGGGGAAGAACAGCAAAATGGGGAATAAGAGATGAGCTATCATAATAAATATTAGCATGTGTATACCACAATAAAGACAGTACTTTTAAATGTCCACGGAGGAAAGATCAAACAGAAAACTACTTCTCATGCAGCTGCACTATTTTCAAATGACTAGAGGTCTGTCTTGATTATAGGTCCTTATATTCTGGACATTGTTTACATTTCACAAATCTTGCATTTTACGCCAAACTTATCAAATAGTTCCATGTGGGTAAAACCTCTGATTAAGCAGCAGGCATCAATTAAATCAATAAATAGTAAGCCTGGAGAATAGACCAGGCCACAAAAGTGCAATTAGTGTACTTGCTAACTGTTCTCCAGGCTACAGATACTGCCCACCACGTGAAGGTCTGAAGTGTACTAGAAACACTGCAGTAAATGAGGTACATATGGAAGGAAAATGACGTACTTGGTGTTACATACAAAGCCAGATCCAAGAACAGGACTCTGTTTCTGCTAGAGCCAAAAGTGTTCTCACTAGATTATACTGACTATGAGGTTATAAAAAAAAAAAGCACTTAATACAGATCATTCACAAACTAAACCAAACTATTCAATTTTATTATAGAAAGTAATTAGCTAATCAAAATGTAACTTTGAGATGTAAGAAAAAAATAACAAAAATATGTTTTTATACAAGAAAGTGCCCTGAGTCATTTCTTCAGTTACTTTATAGTTGGAAAAAACAAGCTTCCCTTTTTAAGTTTACTTCACCTGCATTTAATAGTTGGACCATATGAGGAAATGTTCCCTCTAGAAGCATTTTCAACATGAAAATGAATGCCTTCCTTTATTGCTTTAACTGTATTTCAAAAATTGAGCCTCATGAGGAACTACTCACTCTAGAAGACACACTAGATCCAAAAAACAGTCCTCTCTTCTGTAATAAATAGCTTAAAGCTGGAAGCCAAACACCTGTAGATTCAGAATCTTGATAATAACTGCACACAATGCAAACAATATTCCAGTTGAAACCCAGACTTTCAATATTATTACTTTAAATGAAAGTTTAGAATGTTAAATATATTTCTTATAATTATTAACTGAATTTTACCCATGAACTTTAAAAACTTTTATATTCAGTGGAATATGAAATGTAAGTCTAAAAGATGTTATCTGTTCTTGGGGTAAGAAAGTGTGTATTAAAAATGAAAAGGCTGTGAACAACTCTAAAATTATGAGCTTGTATATGTAAATAACCAAACGCTTAAGTAAAGAGTGGACTTCTCATGCAATTGTCAGGTAACAGTAAGATTGTTGATTATAACTAAGTTTTCTTAAATCCAAGATGAAAAAAACGTAGTTTGGAGACCAACTTTCCTTTAAGATTTTCAACATAAACTCAGTATAATAAAACATCTTAAGTCTCAAGAGTATTTGAACTTGCCACTGTGCAATGTTATACTACTATAAAGCCATAACTGTTGTGTCAATCCTACTCAAAGTTACCAACAAAAGCTTTTATCAGTTTTTGCCATATTTGCAGTTGAAGACAGAAATAAGGTTCAATAAATGTGTAACCTAATGACTTCTAGGTATGTTAATGAGAAATACAGTTGTATTTACTTTATCAATCAAAACTTGCTTAGAGATATATTTTTAATATAGTTTCTGCTGAGAAGTATGCTATAGTACCATTTAGCTATGCTGTTAAGACATAATTTACACATATACTTTCAGTTTAATTAGTGTGATGAAAATATTATTCAAGAAAACTTTTTAAAACCTTTCTGGAGTAAAATAAATACTATGCTCTTGACTCAAAAGTCTTATTGGAGTCATTTAAGTAATCACATTTATTTCTAATGAAAATACTACTTCAATCATGTTTTCCTTACTTAGTCACATTCTGTCTTTTACATTTAACATTCCATATAAAATAAACATTTAAAAATTTACACTTTAAAATGGTTTAAATGGTAAATTTTATGTTATATGCATTTTACTGCAATGAAAAATTTTTCATGAGTGAACTGTGATAATTTGAATTAACAGTAGCAATGATGAAAAATTAAGTGTCAGAAATTGAACATAATGTAATATGCCAAAACCTTTGAATTTTAGGTATGCATGTTTATATTTGTACTAGAGGCCCGGTGCACAAAAATTTGTGCACTCGGGGAGGGGGGATCCCTCAGCCCTGCCTGTGCCCTCTCGCAGTCTGGGACCCCTCGGGGGGATGACCACCTGCTGGCTTAGGCCCGCTCCCTGGGGGGATTGGGCCTAAGCTGGCAATCAGACATCCCTCTGGCAGCCCGGGAGCCTCGGGGGATGTCCACTTGCCAGCAGGGAGCAGGCCTAGCTGCAGTCGGACATCCTTAGCGCTGCTGAGGAGGCAGGAGAGGCTCCCACCACCACTGCTGTACTGGCAGCCGTCAGCCTGGCCTGTGGCTGAGCAGAGCTCCCCCTGTGGGAGGGCACTGACCACCAGGGGACAGCTCCTGCATTGAGCGTCTGCCCCCTGGTGGTCAGTGTGTGTCATAATGACCAGTCATTCCCAGTCGTTCTGCTGTTAGGGTCAGTTTGCATATTACTCTTTTATTATATAGGATAGAGGCCTGGTGCACGGGTGGGGGCCGGCTGGTTTGCCCTGAAGGGTGTCCCGGATCAGGGTGGGGGTCCCGCTGGGGTGCCTGGCCAGCCTGGGTGAGGGGCTGATGGCTGTTTGCAGCTGGTCACACCCCCTTCAGTGTGGGTATCCCCACTGGGGTGTCTGGGCCAGCCTGGGTGAGGGGCTGATGGCTGTTTTCAGGCTGGCCACACCCCCTTTAGGATGGGGGATCCCCACTGGGCTGCCTGGCCAGTCTGGGTGAGGGGCTGAGGGCCATTTTCAGGCTGGCCAAGCCCCCCGGCAACGGAAGCTCCCAGCCTCTCCTTTTTTTCTTTTTTCTTTTTATTCTGAGATTTATTTACCGTCTATAATTGAAACTTTGTTGCCTTCAGTGGAGCTCAGAGCCAGCCACGATGGGCGGGAAGCTTGGCTTCCTCCATCACTTGAGCAACCAAGCCTCCTGCTCGCTCCAGCTCCGTGGCCACACTGGCTGAAAGCAGGTATCTGGGTTTATTTATCTTCTATAATTGAAACTTTGTTGCCTTCAGTGGAGCTCAGAGCCGGCCGCAGCAGGCGGGAAGCTTGGCTTCCTCCATCACTGGTGCAACCAAGCCTCCTGCTAGCTCCAGCTCAGTGGCTGCTGGCCACCATCTTGGTTGGGTTAATTTGCATATAGTCGCTCTGATTGGCTGGTGGGCGTGGCTTAAGGTGTAGCAAAGGTATGGTCAATTTGCATGTTTGACTTTTATTAGATTAGATTTTATGGATAGGCACATATTCTGGCAATTCATAACATCTCAGATAGATATTTCATTATAAATATAAGATATATGCATGTAGATACAGTAAATATAGATATACACATAAGTATAGACAGACACAGACACATATAGGCAGAAGGCAAAAAACAACAATGAAAGATGTATGCAATACAATGTAGACCAGA